ACACACACACACACACCTGTTCCTCAGGCTCTTCAGCTCAGAGGGGAAGAGGATTTTTTTGTAAAAATCTTGCAATTTGCGGCTGAACTCCGGGGTAAAATCCGCCGTCACCAACTGTCTCTGCATGGATGATATTACCCTGAAAAACCCCAACAACACACAGAAGAAGAAGGTAAATATGTAAATAAATGAGTTACAGACAAGACACAAGATAAGTGTGTGTGTGTGTGCACATGTACCTCTGCAGTAACACCAATTTAGCATCAGCAACATTAGCCATGGGAGACTTTAAGATGAAATTCCTGTAGAGAATCATATTAAATGAGGGAAATGATTACACACAAAAATTTTAAGACAACTGTTGACTGAGTGACAACAATCTAGAAAAGGAAATGCTACTTTGTCTTTGTCAAATGTCCTACTTTGTGTGTGTGTGTGTGTGTGTGTGTGTGTGTGCGTGTGTGCGTGTACCCTGAGAGTTGAATATGTCGGATAAAGTCCCCAGTGGCTCCCAGTCTCATGATGGCAGCAGCTCTGCCGTCCTGTTTATCTGCCTCGTCCAGGAACGATGACACAAGCTCGTACACAGGTGTGTAACTGAAAAAAAAAGAGAATATTTAAATGAAACTAAAATGCCACTTTGCATTTGTTAACAGTGTCAGTTTTTTGGAATAAAACATAATATTAAGTTGAGTAAAGACTAGTTAAAAATGCCCCTGCGTCCATCTTGGACTTGACCTTGGTGGTGTATGGTTTTATCCACGTTAGCTCTGGATGGTAAGATTAGTCTAGTTTTAGTATTCTTTTAACATCTTTATGAACAGCTCTGCTCTGTCACTCACTCGTAGATGAAGGCTTGCTGGTTCAGTAGGCTCAGACCGTATTCCTCTACCCTGTTTCCCTTCAGGTAGGAAGAAAACTTTGCAGCGAGCTCTTGTTTGAAGCGCTGCAGCATCGTCTCTGGACACGAAGAACACAAATCCAACAGCAGTGAAATCACGTGAAACTACCAGTCAAACAGTGAGTTGTTTTCCAAATGTGAACGATGTTTATAGCCACACGTGTGAGTGTGCGAGAGCAAGTACCTGCAAGTCGGAGGTGAGCATCTATTTCAGACAGTGTGAGGTTGAAAGAATACAGTTCTCCCAGCAGCGCGTTGTTTCTGAGGTTGTTCCAGAACATGCTCCTCTTGTGGCTGTTGCAGTGACACACTCCCCTGTGAAACCACATTACACACTGAACACACACACACACACCAACATTAATGCAGCTCTGATTTATTTCTTAACAAGAAAAAACAACTTGAAATGATCGTCTAAATATGAATGTTAATAAATGTAATATTATTCAAATATAAGATCCACAAGTAACAGTTTCATGTCAAAAATACAGTTATAGAAATATGGCAAAAATCAGACCTGTAATAAATATAAAAGATGTCTTATAAGCTTATAATGTTCAGATTTTTGTTGAAAATAAATCGAGACACATGGCTGCTATTCAGTAACTCACTATCACGACAGCAGTGACACTAATGATTTATCACATCTCTGTAACTGCCTCTAAAAAGGCGTTTGTGAAGGAGAAAACCTCCAGTTTCACAAAATGTCACGGACAGCTGAGATTCAACAACGTACCGAGGAGTAGACCAGAGTTATTTTAAACCAACAGCAACACGAATGCATGAAGCACACTTCAATTCAAACAGCTGTAAAATACATTTTCTTCACTTATAAAAGACAAAACAGGAGTCAACATGTCTGTAAATGTGCCAGTCTGGTCCAGTGAAACCAATTAAAGTCTGCAGTAAAGGAGGGAAACATCTGCTTCAGTATAACTATACAACAGAGTATTCATTTGTTGGTGTTTGATCAGATACCACAAAAGTGAGTAAAGATCTCAGCTGAATAATAAAAGCATAACAAAAGGTAGCATTCACTGCAGGGTGCTTGCATTGGCTGAACTGTGTTGTAAAGGTGTTACTCTTATAGTTATAACGTTGTAACGTTGCTGCTTCTGGCTATTCAGCAGAGTTTCTCCTCTTAACTTTAAAAATGACAAAAGCAATCTGGTAAAATGCTTCTGGTTCCTATGGCGACTTGTGGTGACGACGCACAGTTTGGCGAGTTCACACATCACAAATCGAACCTGAACATTGTGTGGTGAATCCAACAAGACTAACATGACGACACCCGTTTTATCTTTACCTATACACACGTTCGGGAATATCTGACGCGTCTGTGTTTGTGCATTATTCCTGAAGGTAGGTCAGCGTGGCTGTGTGTGCAGTTTACAGACTTCATCCATAATCAATACATACTGATGACGCCAGCTTGTCGCAGATGTAGCAAAAGCACTGATCACAGATGAGCTTGTTGCCGGCCACAGGAGCACTGACGTGGTCATCCGTAGCTCTGAGCGGGACAGGAGAGAAGCAAGCGTGATTGATCTCAAATGGAAGGGCATAAAGGGCATAAAGTATTGATCAGTACTTCACAATGTGTGTGTGTGTGTGTGTGTGGCAATCAGCTCACGTGAATGGATGTATGGGACAGTCGTAGCGGGCGTGAGGCAGCACCTCAGCCCGGCGGGAGAAGGTCACAACCAGGTCTTCATCCAGAGCGCTGGAGGTTAAAGGACAGTCTGAAACAGAGAGGAAGAGCAGCTGGTGACTGTTTCTAACATCATCTACCAACACATACAGGCGGGTTGCTGTAGAGCAAACACAGCTGTTACCATTTTGCTTCACATCTTCAACCTCCACGATGAGAACTGAGGGTTCACTGCTGGTTATGTCATGTTCACAGTCTTCATCATCATCACTGAGGATGATTATTTCTCCATTATCCACCGCTGTACACATCAGAAAGCTCTAGTGCAAAGGAAAGGAAAGAAAAAGGGACCAATGAACTCACAGATCCTCCTCCAACCTCCCCCTGTGGTTTGTTTGTTGGGGGTTTTGGGAGGAGACCAGGTTCTTATCAATTCAATTTGAAAAGGACGCGTCTGTAATCTAACTTCCCACAAACAAACCAAACCACATGACTTTTTAGTTTTCCCGACGGCAGGAAACAAAGTTAAAAACGTGTAAAGAGAGTTTGTTTGTTATTGTTTGTTCTTTTTTTTACTATAAAATAAAGTAACCCGAATAAAATGTGTTAAAATTAGTGTTGTGAGAGACATAATTCTTACCTTTTTTCTCCGTTTAACCAAATTAAATGTTGTTGTTTTTTGGGCGCCTGCCGGACTCAAATCTGAGCATTAACCGGATGTGACGGTTCTTCTTCTTCTTTGTCGTCTTTAATGGCGGTCGACAAACCGGCTTATAGGTGTATTACCGCCACCTAGTGGACCGCTGTGTGGAGTACTGGATAAATACATGAAGGCAAAACAATATTAACTATATAATAAAATAAATAATACAAATAAAATAGATATTTTAGATTTTATTTGTCAGCCAATGTTGCATGAGCAGATATAACTCCCTGATCCTCTATTTAAAACTTCTTTGGGACTTATTTCTTCCACTTTATCATTTCTTATTTACTTTTTCTGATTACTTGTTCCACTGAGTCCCCTTTTTCACAATAATCAAATAACACAGGGGTAAGCTTGCCTATTAAATGCAATCATCTAATTTTGTTGTTTTGTTTGTTTGTTTGTTTGTTTTTTTTCACTTCTTCCTAAAACACCTTATTGTACCGCTGCCATCCTCTGGACGTAAACGGTTATTTTAAACTTTTTAAAATTTTGTCCTTTTCCTTCTATACAATTAAGTAATTTGAGGATTGCTATTTGTATGAAAAAGTAATACTTGCTAATGCCCTATCTATTCTCCGCTCCACTCACTCAAACCTC